CTAAATCCCGTCCTAGCTTCTTTGTTTCTATTATTTTCTTACACAGGTCTGCAATACCTCCGTTTTCTCTCTTTGGACGGACTTAGAGCCGTTTGTGATGAAAATATTTTCGGCATCCTTTGTGAGTCCTTACTTGAACTGCCTATATTGAGTTTACAATATCGCCACGTTCAAATGTTGCGCCGTTTGTGCATTCTCCGCAGCACGGAGTAGCATACTACCCACCCGAGTACGGTAGAGTTAGCCTGACAGCATCCCGTCCTTTATTTAGGATAAAGGGCTTCATGTGGTTATTCTGCACGGTAATTATGCAACTGCTTGTCTCACCGCATTTCTGTGCATTATTTGATGTTACTTATTCGTTACCTCTCTATTGTTGTCCGTAGCTCTTCCAAACTTGCACTGTCTTCGCATACCTTCCACGCGAGTAACGGACGCTGGATGGATTGCGGCTAAGCAACACTTAAATCTGATCGGTTGCAGCTGCTTACCTTTGCGGGAGTTGAATGCATCTGGCCTCGGATCCTCTCTGACGAACTCTGGCTTGAGCGCGATTGTCTCTCTCTTTCCTCTGCTCATGCGCTTGCACTTGAGGACTGCTCATGTAAGTGTCGTTTTATCATTGTCCGCCTTGAAACGAACACTGATTCCCATTACAGATCACGGAAGACATAGAACTCGCAGTTCCGACCTTGGAACATCTCACCTATTTGGACATAACCTGCTGCCAGCAACTCTACTGCCTGCCACACGTTTTTATACCTCCCTGCAGGGTGTCACTCGCTCACACTGGGCTGACCGAGATACGCTTAACACACTGCAGTATGTTGGATTTGCTGACCGTTGTGCACCAGCTCAGAGGTAAGCAGCTCATTTGTGGAGGATTTCGGTGTTGCCTCATGACATCGCTGCACTGCACGACTGACGGCTTCGTGCTTGTTTGGACTCAGGAAGTAGAGATAGCCTGCGTTAGGAATAGAACTCGGTGCATGGTGATTGACGGCTATCCCCATGGTAACTAGGCCACTGTGTTTGTGTTGGATTATCCTTCCGTGGTACTGATAATTAGAGGGCCATACAACTCGGTGTACATTCCTCACTGTAAATTCGAGCCAGATGATTAAATGCTATTCAGACAGCTCGACTCCCGCCCTTGGTCTGCCTTTGCCTCATAGTGAAGCCGCTTTTGTCGCCGTAAAATTCTCCATTATGAGATATATGCTTGTAAGGTTGCACATGGAAATTGACGCCCCATCGGCAGACAGTTCATATGATGAGAAAAATGAAACAATTTGAGCAATTTGTTGGGCTCACCAGTGGAAACCTCCATTTCGAAACATTAAATTGTCGTAGATACGGTTCATGCCGTCATCGTCACTGAAGATGATCCGATCCTATTATAGGATTAGTGGTCTTACCCTTGGTGTGGTAAAAATATCTAATCAGCCCCAGTATGGTCGGTATCAGTAGACCAGTTTATCAATAATATGCAAAAGTTTGCATACCGTTTGGTTTACGCATGAAAAACGAGAATATGGTAGAAGTCTTTTGCTTATTCTCGTAAACGAATTCTCATGCGCTTACGTGGATTCCTAGTGTCTACGTAGGGTGGTGTAAGCCGCAACTGATCACCTCATGTAATAGATGATCACGCAAACGGCCATGGGAAATACCGTTTAAATCCTACTCAAAATCTTTGCAGCTGGTATCACACGAATGTTTTGCGAGCGAATTCACAACTTGTCCGGGTGACATCTGTTTTCTCCACTGACTGTGGGCGGCGACATTCATTCCAAGGGTAAGCTGTCACAGCGACTGTAACTTACAGCGGGACGCCCACGCATACGGCGAAACACCATTGGTGGCTTTTGTTGCGCTAGTCATATACAGCACATACAGTGGACGAGTTACGGAATAATGCCGGGATGCATGTGATTGGAGCGAAATTGTTCCGTGGATGGTCCACATCGATGCAGAATTACGGGAACTTGGAGCTCCGCATTGCTCCGACGACTGTGGAACGCAGCTACAGCCAGCAGTCCATCGGAACCACTAGTCGAACTGGCGGAATCGCGTATCTAAGGCCCTACCAACTTCCATCCATTGCGACCGGGACTGACAGTTCATTGGTCAGTGCAGATTCGGCACACCTGTCAGCAAAAGCAACGCGCAGGTCATGTGTCGTCAGCTGAGGGGTCGGCGACTGCGTGGTGGGATTTGGAGATTTATGTTGTTGGCTAGTTTGTGTACTTATTTTGAGTGTTACACATGTACTCGTGTTTCTGGGTGACCTGCTAGCAGCATATCTTAAAATTCGAAATAAAACTACGCAGATACGCAAAAAGCTGTGGCTTTGTATGCACTATATACCCATTATGAATTGCTATATTGTTATATCCGGACCAGTGTCGTTTATGATTTGTCTTACAATTTGGCACTTCTCCATGTCAGCGAATCTATGTTTTCGATAAGCCTTCATGAGACCAAGAATTATTGGTGATAGCTGACCACTTGTAAACTGAGTTTACCCTGTTTTAACAACCCCAGTAGTCTGTCTAACCGATGTAATTGGTATCTACTTGTACTAGCCTGACGAAGAATTATCGAAAACATATTTTCGCAAACATTAATTTCTCCACGTATAAATCGCAATGACACCGAATTCCGGCAGATAAATACATATCACGACGTTTCCTCAGTGCAGTCAACAGTGACTCGCCATCCCATTCATGTGGTAATGGGTGCAATCAGCTATGCATTCAAACGAATTAAGGGGAGGCCCCACATTTAAGTCTGTGGCTCCGCAAGGCTGACATGTATTTACCTTGGCGAACAACCGGCTGATTTAACCCAGTTGATCGTACCAGCTTCGGGGAAAGGGAAGGGTCCGAGGTTGGCATGATGCAGCAGGCATATGAATACTGATTGACCTTTACAAATGGACCAGAGGTCAATAATTGCCTACCGATGTAATCGACCGACGGCCTAAGTAAGCACGGCGCTTGAGCAGGGCGCGATTTCTGCATGGCATAGCGCTGTGTTCACTTGGTCATCTGTTCCTTTAATCGGGAATCCAGCGCCTTCTCGATTCTGCTTAGACACCTGTAACCTGCTTAGTGGCAAACCAGAAGTGCCTTCTTTAATCGAATGTTCTTGTCAGCCGTAGAGGGAACAGATTGGATAAGTGTTGCGTCTTCAGAAAAGCCGAGTACATGCATTTCAGCAGTTTCACATCATTGTGATACTGGCAGACGTTTGGGAAGACTTTAACTGGTCGAACCAGTTGAATGCGCTCGGTTGATTATCTGAGTGCTCAGCTGGAGCTGATTACCGGCAAGGTAGTTTCATGCGGCTTCTCTGGAAGATCCGCCGAGGGGTGCGCTACATATGGTAATCAAAAAGACTACTTTCTTATGTTGGCTGGTGGCCGAAGGGATGCAACATCTGCCCTGTAACCGAAAGAGTCAGCAGCTTGAAACTTCATAGATGACAGGGACCTCACATTATCACTAGCGCTCGACTGTTGGTGATCACGTGGTATCCAATCGTCGGTGTGGTGCCCCGGCGCACTGTTGATGTCATTCTTTCTCTTCTCTTCTTAATTAGTTGTCATCCCTTTTTTCAAGAATATTATGACCGGCCGGTGTGGGCTACCCTCTGTCGACCACCGTGAATGTGGTCCACCTCCGGCATTTATTTTCCGTGCTATAAAAGTTGACACAATTCAGTTATTGGGGCTCCAGAGACGGGAATTGCGGATAGCATATCACCTTATGTTGCCGGCCTATCTTCGGTGTGCAGTAGACTCCTGAGAACCCACCGGGGCGCCGATGATTTATATAGGCAATTATGGCGTTCGATTCACCTCAGATGCAGCGAGCTGATCGTGGGTGTGGTCTATAACAGTCCACTGAGCCGATGCTTTAACCCTTTGCGTCCTGGAGGTACTTTAAGTATCACTGTTCAAATTGTAATACTACTTCAGAGCAAGCATCTTTCCTGTCGGTACTCACTAGGATTGGTGCAATTAAGTAAGGGCCAGAATTTCCCCACTTTGCTTTCCGGTGTGTGAACTAAACTTTTGTGGTTCATATCGAGCGTTAGGTAAATTAATTCACGACTCAAAGTGTTAACTGGTTGCCGAATGTTCGCAATCACATGAGTCGCATGCAATTTCAGCTCATCAGCGATTTCACCTTAACTAAACTACAATGACCTGATGCCGAACGTTTTTCCATACATTGTGAAATTGAGAAGTTCGTGGTGGATATATTTGGAACTGTGACCACACAGAACGACAACCAGCCGACGCGCATAGTCGCGCTTTCGACTTCATCGTGTTGAGACCTAATACTGCTAATTACTACCTTTGAATAATCTACACAGCCTTTGACTGCGAGGGACCAATCCATGCTCATATAACCGTTGATTTGTCGCTGGCGTATGCACCTCCGCTGGTGTCATCCTTCTACCACAGGAAGGCGAACTGTACTTTTCCTCACTCGGGCCGCTAGCCAGGTAGACTGGTCGTCACCAAAATTTCCTATGTTACTGCCTGCTGATCCATTCTAAAAGAGGGAATAAAGCCGTTGTGCCCCCGATAGGTACTCCACAATTTTCGGAAAATTGGACCAGTCAAGCCACATTGCTTCGACGTGGAGTATAGCAAACTGGCTAGACTGCGACGTGGACCATGCGGTAAATTCGTGTTGTCTTGCCCTACCGAAAAGTAACAGGCGTAAAAGACAGCGAAATTTCTGTAACAGCGTGAAAACAGATTCCTCGGCAGTTGGAAGGGTATCTCTGAACGGCAGCAAAACCGTCATCTAAGTGGACCCTTGTCTACGAGAGACAATGCCTGAGTCCCGTAGGCAATGTGTTGAATAGCTCGGGCGGACAATTCGTAACCCGAGCACTGATCGTACGTCCGCATTGACGGCTCACTACTCTTCCGTATTTGCAAACGCTCAGGTATTCGCACCGAGTTCGGGGGTACTGAACGTACTGAACTAGACAGCCTGAATTGCAGCTTTGAATATGTACGCAAGCTGCTGACCAGTCGCGACGAAACCAAGCCTGTCGGGTCTGACATATTCCACACAGATTCCACACAGCAAGTCATTATCAGCCATTATCTCGCCTTCCGTGACTGATCCTTTAATTGGTCTCTACCCACCGGATGACCGGAAATACGGTAGTAATGCCAATACCGAAAGGTGGTGACCCAAACAAAGTGGACAACCGCCGGACAATCTGTCTTATCGCTATCTTAGATAAGATAATTGAGAAGATCGTTAAACTGGGTCTCCTGCAGATGCACGAGTCGAAAAGCCTCTTGACACCCGCACAACATGGTTTCGTGAGAAGTCGCCCGTGCATCATCAACCTACTCGTCACGAGGCAAGGGTAATTGCGAGCGCTGAGCCAGCGGAAGTCGATCGACGTCACTTACACTGACTTCAGTAGGTTATTTGACAATGTGAACCAGTTGCAGGAACATTAATTAATTTCGAAAATTCACGCACCCGCAGCACAGACACTAATAACCGTACTCGCAATCAATAGGCTATGTCACGTAGTATTTGCAATGTGACCATACGGTAAGATTCCGTGAACAGTCGTGCCGCAGAAACTCCGGTCCTGCGCAGTGAGTCATTCGTTCTGTAACTAAAACGGTCTCGAACTGTGTCGCCTTTCTATTGAGTCACTAAGATCGCTAGTGCGATAGGTCTCTCTTTCTTCTGCCCCTCGATCTGGTCCGGGTGCGGATGCGCTCATGAGAGCGACCTCATTCGATTGGCAGAATTCTGGCATCGTCTACACGACAGGTAGGTCCCGCGCACGCACGGTCTAGTGATCGATCGGAATCGCGTAATCGTCTAGTTGACGCGTCGGAACGACCCTAGCCAAACGTTCATTTGTGTGTCCAACAAAAAGGAGTCCATAACAGAACCATGAGGTTCACCTCCACGGGTGCGGTGTTGGGGGCTCGCTGCACCGATTGATCCCGAATTTCTTTGTTGGTCGGAAAAGGGGGGATTGGTTGGGTTTCAGGTTGTCAATCCTCTGACCGACTAGTAGCGTCCGCAAGGCACGGTACAGGGGCCTAGTTTGTTCTTGACCCATAAAAAACGAAGTATATCAACTTCTCCGTTCGTCTTATGCTTCATTTGCAGACGAGTTAAACATGTGGAGAGTACTCAGCGTGCCCGATGACTGTGACCTTCTTCAACGTGACCTTGACCACCACCCTATGTTGTCTGCAGAAGTCAAGCTCCAAGTCGCCATTCTTGAGTCTGGGTAAGAGTGGACACGGTCGAAATTACACTGTGGCATATCATCTGTTGCATCTCACCTCCTTCGTGAGAGATCTGGATGTATGCTTGCGTTGCTACCTAAAGTCCATGGTCAACACGAATGGGCTTCTCCAAAATGAACTTCATTCGTTTTAGGCATTCAAACGCAGCTTCGGCACTTGCTTCGAACAAATTACGACTCACCTCTTCGTTTCAACCATTCGATCAGAGTACTGCTCACCCGCATAGTGTCTTATCACCCGGGACGCTGTGCAATGGATTGAACGGGTCCAGGATGTGGCCACCATGCTGATGCCTAGTTAATGAGATGTGCGAATTGGCCTCATTATGACGCCGCGGATAGCACATCTTCGTGATTACTCCAAATTGTGGCCGCCGTTCCATATGCGCCTCCCAAGGAGCACACGAGGACACTGACACAATCTTGTAGTGGTGGATTTAAAGTGGGTCGTTTACAAACTCTGCCTCGAACGGAGAATAGTGCACATGGGGAACAATTTGTCGCCGCACCTAGTGGAAGCAGTCGGTATCGGAATTCAAAAATTTCCTGGGTAGGCGAGAATGTTGGCAAAGACTTTAGGGATTTTATATGGAGCTACACCTAAATATCCCATCTTGCTGCTTCCGTACAGTAGCTGGTATTCCGTAGTTAATAATACACTCAAACCTGTTTACGACGACCACTCAAGAGACCGACAAAAACTGGTGGTCTTGGAGAGGTGGTCGCCATGGACAGGTTCATGCATAGGGACATTACACCTTACTGTACGGTTGCGAAACCTGGCCCCTAAGATCGGCGGACATAAAGAGGCTAGTTACGTCCGACCATCGGTGCCTTCGCAGTTTGGACCACATCTGGTGGGAACACCGCGTGAGTAACGAGCGTGTTCGATGCCTTGTTTACGGCCCAGGAAATGGGAATGAACCGCTCAGCACCGTTATTTCACGCACCAGGCTCCGATGGCTCGGCCACGTGTTGCGCATGCCAGCCCACTGACTCCCTCGACGTGCGTTGTTTGCTCACCGGGAATGTGGGTGGAAGAAGAGGAGAGGTGGCCAAGCGATAACTTGGTCCAGTGGAATGAAGTCCCTCACTTCGGAGCTAGCCTCGGTTGGAGCTTCACGGCTCCCTGGTTGGGGTGCAAAAGACGATGAACACGTTTGGCTGGATACACTTGCTGACATGGCAAGGAGCCGACCTCAGTGACGTTCCTACTGTGAGTTTCTTTGTCCCTCCCCATCCCTTTTAGCCTCCCCTCCATCTACGATCTCATTTCGTAGGGTAAAACAATAAAATAATTTTGCCTAGTAGCTGGCTGTTAGTTTACCGGAACGATGCCTATCTGTTGCTGGTAGCTCAGCTGGCATGCAACTGCCGTATTTATTTTTCCTTTACGTATTTTATGTATGTATGTATGTATTTCCTTTATGTATTGCAGTACAATAGCGGAGGTGTTTCACCACCTTTAGCTGACATGTATAATGATGATACTGATGATGATAGGGACATTACTCATAAAAGAAAATGTTGGGGATGTCTTTGTCTGCTCGCCATAGACAGGTGACCGTCATAGTAGGTTGGACTGTAAGAATAATAATAAATACTAATAATAATAAAATAATAAGCTTATTTCCATGTTGTGCAACGAACTGTGTCCATATTTAACACCTACCATTTTTGTGTGAGTGCGGCAATGCTTTTGCACGAGCACTATATATGAGTGAGATTACTACTACCTATTTCTCATTAAGCACAGTATAGGACTCACTGAGGCTTAATAAAATACTGTGAACTCGAAGCGCGGCTTGAAGAAATGTAGGTGCATTGTGCATTTTACGCGCATCTAACATCCCTATGTGGCGAGAGTTCCATGATACGTTACCGTGTGACTGTGAGTCTGGAGTACAAGATGCTCAGAGAACATATGATTAGCGTATGCGCGTTGCCGCCTACTACGTGTTTGTATTGTAGCGAAAACGACGCGACGGGGGAGGGCGGTGTGTGTATAACCACAAGAACATGCCAATGACAACTCACAAACCCGTACAGATTTGGACCGTGTTTCCTTCCAACGACGCAACGCGAATGAGGATTTGTGTGACGGACCATTTCAGGTGCCTACGTGGTTGAGCTTCGAGACAACCCCTCCTTCTTTCCACCCTGTATCTCCGCTTCGCTTCATCCGATTCTGGCCGGCCATGTCGTTCGAGTGCTCGCGAGTTGCTCTCCCGCGGCTGCATCACTCCACGCGCGTTCACTCCTGTGTGCTTCACTAGCGGCGTATTTGTCTGATTCATTGGGTTCTCGACAAATACCTCCTCCATTGTTCTGGGCCCAGGATATTTATCAGATGCCGCCCGTGATCTGCTGTCGGCTTGATCCGCAACGCTCGCAGAGCCTTGTCTCGTCTCATCCACTGCGCCCGGTGTTAATTCTCTATAATCTCGTTATTTTTGTCGTTCCGGTTCGCGAGTAGTTACAGGCTTCCTTATCGGTATCTTACGCCTCAGGAAGTAGGTTGTGAAGAAAGGTTTCAGTAAGATATCTGCACTCTATTTATTTCACATGAAGGCCGTTTTCGTTGGATTGTCCATCTACCTTCTCATAATGCCAACTATGTTATGCGGGTTCATTCCGTGACGTTAAATGGTTTGACGGTGCAGCGTTACAAGAGTTTGTGGGTATTTGCTTCTCAAGCGTTCTCCTTTCAAGAGTCTACAAATGTCAAGCCACTAACACCGCGGCATAGCAGATGTGACTCACCGCGAACTAAGTTAGGTACCCGTTGCTTCACTATTGCAGAGGATTATAATCCAACGAAGAGGCTCGAGGGGTATTAATCCGCGCTTTGGCAACTCTCCAAATCAAGGACATATAGATTGAAAATCGGTCTCTGCTTCTCAATGGGTGAGCTCCCCTCGGATACCTTGCAAGTAGACCATTCTGCCAAAGGTTCGAGTTGAGGTCCTCTAAGACAACTCACGACTTCGGCTTGGTCAACCGGAAAGTATCACGCTCTCTGAAGAAACCGTAGATTGTACTGGGCTTTTTCGTTTCTTACGATAACTGTACCTTCTATTGTTTTCCATGGTTATTGTTGATTCCATGTCTACCAGTTGACCGCTGCAAACAGGAATCTTGCTTTTTGATCCACTTCAATAGGTCCCGCTACCAACCAGTGTCTGTCTGCTTATGTGGATAGTTTCTACTTCCGTTCACTACAAATTTCGTTGTCTCCTTTGGAACAGCATATTAGTCAATTTTTCCACAAAGCGCATGGTGTAATCACGCTGAAGTCAAAGGAATTCTCAGCTTTAGAAGGGAGTGTTGTTTCAGTTTTGCCCTAAATATGATTTGGAAGAAATTAGCGCACCCATATCTTCTGCTCTGTCTTACAACCGATGTCCAGCCGGTATTATTCAAGTAGTGTGTAACGGTGCATGTAATGTGGCGCATCAGCTGGGGCTTGGCGTTATTCGGAATGAGGCAATCACTCACCCAGCTTTCTTGTTTCGACGAACTTTTCTGGATAAGTTAGTGTGGAAAACTACTACTGGTCATTGTGGTGGTGTAGTGTGACCTCTCTGCAACTAGTCCGCTCTACCCCCATATGATGGGGCTACTGTGTGGGGCAGATTGTGAGTTGTTCTAGGATACAGCTTAAGGATTAGCACGGAATCGGTATCTGACGTGCATGTTGTCAATTCTATTGCCTTACTGTTACTTTCAGGTCAACCAATCCGATGTTTGCGGGGATTTGAAACGTTGGACTCGTTGAACGAACTATCACTGGAAGCCTATGCCGGTACGTGCACTACAATCAACACTCCCATGCCTCTTTAATATCTCGAGTATTCCTCGGACTATGTCCGGATCCCTATTGTTTTTCGATTAAGCCGTTTTTTCTATGCCACCAATATGCCCCACAAAATAGTATGTGGCTGTTAACCATCTGCCTCCTCCCAGTAGCCACGCCATGGGCCTCGACTACTGTAGCCCGTGACCTTCCTAGTCATTCTTCATGGGACAAGAATCTGTACAACAGTTTCTCTGATTTGTTCTCCTTTTGCTCCACCGGCTATTATTGCCAAATGAGTTGAAGGTATGATCGCAATGCGTACACACGTTTACGCAAAGTGAGCAATGGAGTTATCAGCTGGAATGCTTTCTCCGGTGTTCCACCGGATGCGGAGCCGTTTGTTACCTGAACTTTCCTCTAACTCTTCCTACTGGCGACTGATTTGGTTGCCCGTTGTTCTGGCCAGCTGGTGAACACACAGCTTTATGCGGGGGCACTGCGTTGTGCGGCAAAGCTGCCATTCGCTACTTCCGTAACTTGTTTCTGCTCGAACAATACGAAGACACCTCTCGGCAACACATAGTCGTGTGGGATCACAAATCTCGTCGCTTAGATGAAGTGATGAATGAAACGTCCGTGATCTAACCTTTGGTGATTCGAGTGGTAACAATCTATATGTCTTTGACAAAGCCATCGCGTCGGACACTGGAGTAGTTGTGCTAGAGTGCACCGAACCTGTAAATATGCGGTATCCGGCTTTCATCATTTTCTCATCATCTATCACAGCGAAACCTAAGCGTAACGTGGTGCGACGATTTTCCCACTTTTTCAACCCACTGTGCTATATACTGGGTGTGTCCTGTGGTCGTGGACAAAGATTTGTGGTTAGACAAACTCTCTCCTGGTTTTCAACCCCTTGGTGTTTGGAAATGGAACGGCATCCACTTATGTAAAAGCGAGTTGCTGCCATCTCACCGAAGCGTCGCAGACAGGCTTATGAGCGAAAACCATGATTGTTCTTCCATCTAATTTTGAGCGCCCGGAAACCCTACCTCACCCTTCGTTTGAGCATTCAGGTAATAGTAAAGTGTGTGAATCATCATTCTTCACGACTTATGAGGTGCGACGCACCCAAAGTATTCATACCTTGCTCCTCGTTTGCTTCGCGCGGTGAGGTCGAACCAGTTGGTTAGATGAGCGTATTTCACCCTGCATCTTGCAACTGGTAGCGGGCGTGTGGTTATCGCACAAGTCAGGTTTCTTCTTAAGCTAGGCTCTGGGAAGCCGTACTTCGAATGATACCAAGACCTAGTTCAAGTTCTAAGATATCGAGTAGAGCTACGGACGTCGTGTTCGCAAATTGGCGAGTGAACGTGTGCGCCTAGGAGGCATCGAAGCCAATTGGGAAAATCATCGGATTTTTAACATCAAGTGTCTCAACAACAACCTTATTCCCAAATCCCTCAAAGTTAAACCTCCGGATTCTTCGTACACCTCGGCACGAATAGCCCTCAGAACAGGCAAAGCATTTCTGAAACAAAGAATCTACCTAACAACTAAACGTCTGGATGAAATCCGCCTCTGTGCTAGTCAGCTGAGCTTGGATTTACAGACTGCGATGTTACCGACTGATCATGACAGACTTTCAATAAGGCCCCCGAAATAATGGCAGCAAGGTAACGGGAGTCGAAGGAAAGGCAAAAACTTAAGTTTGAACAATTGATGGCTACACATCACAAGGCTGCTACTCGTACTGATAAGCATGTATCTAGTAGCAATTGTTGTAGAGTTGTTAACATGTCAGGTCGGGCATTAAGTGTAACAGAGCATAGAGTTTTAGAAATGGGTCTGGATGTTACTCTCAGTAAAACGAAACTAAGGGCAGAAGATGTAATTCCTGAGGTCGAAACTGTTGTGACCAGATTACCTGTTTAAAACGCAGACATCCGCGCCCAATTAGCAAATATACTTATGTTTCAACAGCCGGCAGAATCGAATCTTGCTCCAGCTGAACACATAGCGGTAAAGACCCTGAAAGAGGATACTAGTATTGTCGTTACAAGAGCGCATAAATGTAAAGTAACAGTAGTAATGAATAAGAGATTATTTGGAAAACATGAGGGAGCATTTGACCACGGGATCATACAAAGTGGTTGAGCAGAAAAGCATTACATCGGTAATGAATAAGAAGGAATCAGATGTCGCTAGTTACCTAAGAACCGTGAAGGATAGTGTAGGAAAGGGTAAATGGTACAGCATGTATCCGAAGTCGACTATTCCACCTAGAACTGACGGTCTTCCAAAGATACACAAGCCCAATGTCCCCTTGCGACCTATAGTAGATGGCATAGGCTTTCCCACACATGAACTCACTAGATATCTGGCGAGCCTGCTGCAACCCCTAGCAAGTAGAAGGAGCACATTTGTAAACAAAGACACTTATGAGTTTGCACGAACGTCGCGAGGTGTGAGCATCGAACAAGAAGACCTGATGGTCAGCTTCGATGTTACCTCCTTGTTCACGAAGATATCCAAGGAGGAGGCGTTACGATTAGCAAGAAGCTGCTTGATAGGGACAGCAGCTTAGGGGACAGAACAAAGTTAACCGTGGATCAACCGGTCTAGGGCATAGTTTTGTGTCTCGACATGACTTACTTCACCTTCCAGTCTAGCATAGACTCTCAAGAATTGGATCTTACCACGGGATCGCCATTATCCCCCGTAGTAGCCAATATGTACATGGAAGATTTTGAAAAGCAGGCATTACTAAATTTCCGTGGTGTCCTGAAATTATGGTGGCGCTACGTGGACGACACTTTTGCGACTATTAAAAGAGATAGCAAAGACGAATTATTGAACTATTTGAACTCTATTGACGATACGATAAAGTGCACCATGGAACTTGAGTAGCAGAGCGGTACACTTCCGTTCCTTGATTCTCTGGTCCACAGGAACGAAGGGAAGGTTACAAAGGATAAGGTATCGCAAACCAACGGATAGGTCACCTAGCTATAGTTCAGGCCACCCAAAGCACGTTTACACGGGAATCGCCTCATCACTGTTTCACAGAACAAGTGCTTTGTCCACGGAGGAAGAAGATAAGAAAGCAGCACAGAGGGAGGCGATGAAAAAGTTAGTACCTAGCAGATACCCGAAACGATTACTAAAATGATAGCTACAGACGTTTCTCAACCGACGCTTAACAACAACCACAGAGTGGATAGCGATAGTGGGTATTCCCTATAAAGAAAGAACTTCGGAAGCGATTTTTTAGAGTACTGAATAAGGAGAAGATAAGGGTAGTTTACCAGAAGGGTCAAACGCTACGGTCTGCGCTGGTTTATCTGAAGGATTCTCTTCCTCTAGATAGGACAACTAACTGCATTTACGAAATTCTATGTAAAGATTGTACGCAGGTGTAAATAGGCCAAACAACGAGGGAAATACGTACAAGGATTTAGGAACATCGGCAGTACAAATGAAGACCTCCGAGAAATGGAACTCTGTTCAGAGACTCTTCAATAGCAATACACGCGCTAGAGGCAGGGCACGAAATTGATTTCAGAAACGTCGAGGTTAGCAGGAAGCCATTACGAGCAGCCAAACAAAGGGTGATTGCTGAAGCTATAGAGATAACCAAGGCTAACGACTGCGTGAATAGAATAGACGGAGTAGGGCTGTCTAATGCCTGGCGGCCAGGTTGATAAGCATCGGCGGATGGATCCCAAATCGGAATGGACTATCAACGCTCCCTCCAGCAAATTCCTAACTACTAAAGACAAGTTCTATCAGTTACCAAGTTCCTTCCAACGGATCACAAGATTGCTGACCACAAATGGAAATATTCTCTGACCAGCAATTTGTGTTCCCCATCTGACCCTGCCTGAAACAAACCATGGGGTGCACACGAACCTAGTGACCTTTGACCGATGTAAACTTCATTATTGAATTGCAAATTGATTAGTCACCTTATGTAGCATATCCATGGTCGTTATAAAATGCCCATGTTAACCTAATTCACTCAGCCTGAAGCAGCTTTTGTGTCAAAAGCGAAACGTTGTGTATCATCATAAATATATTAGCCGGTCCTCTACCAAGTATTCTGAAATGATGAATTCCCGATCGGTACCAAATATCCTCCAAGATATCTAGTAGTTCAGGTTTGATTCAGCTCTGCTACAGTGCACACTCCAAATGTTCATTTTCATTATTCTCTGGAATCATGCATGCATTTGGGCTGCTCATGTTAGATTACGATCTTGCATATACTGCATGGTGCTCAGGTTCGAAGGCCTCACCTCTTCTCAATATAGTTAAACCACGTCGGCCGGTGGCCAAGTGATCTGCGCACCTGGTTTACAATCATAAGGTCCCCGGTTCGAATTCGCGTAGGGGTGGGCGTGCTCGCGGTATGCTCCGCTTGCGCTTGACTGATGGTGGTCGCGCGGCAGCGATGGGCAGTTACGACGTACAACTGACATATTATTATTAGTAGTAGTAGTAATATTATAACGTTTTGTAAATGGAGGATGAATTGTTCGAAGGTGTCCTTCATTTTAATAATGAAGACAGCCACATCATTGCTAATGGTTGCACCTCCGAGGCTAATGTGCAACGGATTAAACTTTAGAAACACCAATCTAATGTGCCAAAAATGAGATAAATAGTTTGTGGTGAATGCTAACGGAGTGGGAGGGGCAAAGTAACTCAAGAAGACTCGTCGACCAGGTCTTCAGCTGGTGTCTGCTCCTACTTATTCATCCACACACTGGTTAGACAACCCATTTCGCAGGAGTCTGTGTGCTTTGGTACGAATACGCAGAGAATGCTCCCACACGGGTGGATAAAGCTTATCTTGACTTGACATGGCCCATCCACTGGGGCTTGGTGCGTAAGGTAACGGTACACCATACCACAGACGGTGAACGCACCCAATGCGTACGCGGTGTTCCACCAGATATGAGCTAAGACAGCTGCGGTTGGACACAACTATATTCCTTCTACCT